TCCTAGGTTGCAGTGCACCTCGAACAGCTCTCCCCCCCCCCGTTTTCTCGTCGTCGTTTCATTCTGTGGCTCTCATACTTTCAAATGTATGTGTATCATTCCAGTGCCACAAATTGTTACACCCAACTCCCGGGTGTTCCCGATCCCGAATATTCATGTTCACCTATATCCACAAATGCATTTCTCTCGACATGTACAGAGAATATAGTTAGGATTACTTGTTCATCAAGTCAGCGTCCGTTTTGTGTCTCACGCTTGACGAGCACAAATCGAACGAAGCCGTGCAATCCACTGAAACACACGATACTACTTCACCGGGCAGTAGTAGTCTTTCCATTGTTTCTTTTTGTTTTGTTTTCTTTGTTTCATTCACTTCTCATCCTTCTGTTTTTTCGGTAATCAATCACGCTCTCCAGGTGATGGTTTACCCGGCTGCTCTGCGAATGCGCGCGCACACACACCGTTTTGTTCATTCTCCGATATCATAGGTTTCTATCGAGCGGAAAAAACATACCTTGATCGGCCATCCTGACTCGTTTATTGAGGGATTTTACGCGTCATGTATCATAGTTCATTCCGTGCTGTATGCCTGTGTGCTTGCGTGTCCTGTGCTTGTGTGCCGGTATGTTTGTCCGTTTGTCTGTTCGTCTATTTACCTATCTTTCCGACAATCTGTCCATATCCGTTATTGTTTGTGCGTGCGTGCATGTATGTGCGCGCACACGCACGCACGTACGTTTCTCTCGGCCCTGCTGCGAGCAGCAGTGATACGTGGCCAATCCTGCTCCGTTCTACTCTCGCTCTCGTCTGTGTCAACAGTCTCTTCCCTATCCGAATTCCGCATCTCAAATTCATACGATCATCATCAGTTCAAGTGGTCTTGTGAAACCACGGTGTTATATAATGTACGCCCACATACATGCACCTTGTCTCTCTCGCACGTGCGCGCTCTATCTATGATAATTCAATGCATGTGGAACAGGATGTAGTCATTTGTGTCTTAACTTCTCTTTCACAAAGCCGACGGGACATCAGGGTTCTTCCGAAAGACATTTGATCAGTTCGTTTGTGGTCTGATAACTATTTGACCTGTATGGGTTCATTTTACAACTGGAACGATGAGTGCGATCGATCGTGTTCATGTTCCACGCTCAAGTGGATTGTAGTACAACTCTGTCAAATGTGCGAGGAGATTGTATAGTGATCAGCGCAAATCACTGGACAGTTGTTTCGTTCTTGTTCGGACTC